TTTATAATTCATTCTCTTTACTTAAGTTTAATCACCCCTCTCCCAACATCATATGCTTATAGTGATTCTCAGTGAAATCCACTATCCAGAATCGCTGTAACAATATACATTTTGTAGCATAATCTCAATAACTTCTATCTATTAAATCTCTCTTGAGTGACTAAGTAAAGTTGTTTATCAGGTATGAGAGTAATTGTAAATTGAATTTAAAGCCTTTTGAAGAACTTTGTGTTAAGTTATTATTGTTTTTTGCAACAAAACTAATTTTTTATTTTATATATATACTTTGTAGCATAATTTCAATAACTTCTGCCTAGTAAATCTTTCTTGAGTGACTAAGTAAAGTTATTTTTCAGGTATGAAAGTAGTTGTATATTGAATTTTTGATGTCTTTTGAAAACTTTAAATTGAGAAGTTTATACATTTTATAAAATACAAACATTTGATGACTATAGATGTGTTCACCATAGCGATAATACAGTAATTGTATCTAAAAAATAAATTATTTTTTTGAATAAATTTTAGTTCTTTAACTTAATATCTATCAACTTTCATGCCAATTTTTGTTTAGTACACAAATATTATTTTTAATACACATGCACTTGATATATATTATGAATTATACGTGCCTATCTTTTGAAGAACGAAATACAGTCAACTCTCGTTAAACCGAATATATTTTTCTTCGTCTGCACGCGTTTCTATATTTTCAACCTGTATACAGTTAAACCGACCATATTTTACTTTGATTTAACAAGCTTTAAATAAATATAATGCAGTTAACAGCCATATATTTTATCTATGTCATATTTATTAAATTAAAATACATAGTATAACTCATTAAATCGAAGCAAAGCGAGTGTGCTTAAAACTTTTTTGTATTTCAATTTTTATCAAAGGTGATATTATATTTGTCTGAAGTTTTTTAAAATCAAAGACAAGCTTTAATAAAAATCGATGTAATTATACTTTAATTATGTAAAAAAGTAATGATATGATAATTTTTGCAAAATTATATAGTTGAAATTTGTCGTTTAAAGTAAATCACTTTTTTGAAATATGAAATACTTCAAATTCATCTACTTGGAAATATTTGAAAGCATTATTGTCATCCCATATATTATTATTCGGCGTGTTAAAGAGACAAGGACGATACCAACTCGAAGCATTTTGATCGCATTGGTCGCCGATCAATAGATCATTATAAAAATATGGGCCGTAAGTAATTTGATAAGGATTATATGCAATTTGATTTCCTGAAACACTGCGTGAAAACTTTACATTTCCATCACTGATAGAAAAGATAAAAGCATCGGGGACACTTATAAAACACGTTTGATTGATATAAGAAGCATTTCTCCAAATGTTAGGGTTATAACCACCGATAATTCTTTCAGTTTGGTTTATCTTGACGACCACTACCGTCTGACTTTGAGAATCACAAAGCTCATGGAATTTTGAGGCTACGAAACCATCTCGACTACCACGATAGAGGAGCTTAAATTCATATGGTGACTTATAAAAGTCTTTAAATAAATTGGTGTGATCTTTCTTATCGATCCAAGATGAAATCAACTTAATGTGTTTAGAGCTAATAATCTTAGAATCAATGGAGCCTGATCGAGGAGGTAGAATTTTAATAGGTTGTGGAGTAGAGTTTTTAAGATGATAACCCAACATTTCCATTTTTATATCTTTTGGAAGTATTCGCCGATAAGGAATTACTTTTTCGAAGTAATCATTGCTGGAGATATCGCTATATCGGATCAATGGAATGCATTGATGAAGCGTCTGTTCTAGAGACGCAAAGTATTGAGGTGTCCATTTTGAAATAGGTTGGTTGCCTAAATTTGAGGTATTCTTAGTACCCCATTTGATGATTGAATTCCAAACCTCGATTTCGTCCATTGCTAGATTATCGCATTTTAGCAAAGATACAAGTTCATGTTCCTTTAGAGATAAAAAATCCCCTGATTTGAAAAACATATGAGGTTCTTCCCTGATAGTTGCATCACAATACTCATTCAATCTCTTGAATGATTCGTGAAGGTCAACGGTATGCATAATCTTTACGAGATTCTGTTGAACCCAGGTAGACATTTTTGTAATCAAAAACTCTTGGGCGTGATTGATTAATTCGTCGATTTCTAGTTCATCTGCAGCGATAAGTAAACTCAAGACATGATGTCCGTTTTCTTTATCGAGATCGATTATACTGGTATATAAATAACTATAGAATAATTCAACGATTTTATCAATATGATTTATGATTAAAAAGTTAAAATCAAAATAAAACAATGCACATACTTGAGTATAAGCTCAAATATTTTAGGTGAAATATTTGGTTTTTTAAAAACCATCATTGCGCCTTCTTTTTTAGCCCATTCTTTTGATAAAGCACGTCGAAAATACGGGGAACGTGCACGCAAAACGATCGAGTGAGCTTGAAACGTTTGAATGCTTTTATCTTCTCCAACGATAATTTTGATATTATATTCATCAGAATTTTTTAAAAGCTCGGTCAAGTCTTCAATAAGGTTTCTTGTAAACTCGGACATATTTTTTACAATTTGATTAGCGTGGGAGCAATAAAAATTCACTTTGATACAACACGCATTTTAGATGACAATCATTATCGTTATGCATTAATGATTCACACGAACCATACGGGCAGGGTGTCTACCACTCTAATTCCACAATTTACACTCTTAATTTCTCCATGAGGATCCTACCTTAAATAGTCCATAATAGAATTCCCTAATTCCGTTTGATAATTCCTAACGCTAAATAAAGATCCGAATTATAATTCGAAAATATAAGCATCTCACGAAACAAAAACGACATTAATATTTTAAAGGCTTCGGCTCCGTATAACTTTGCTTGTTCTTGTTTAATGGTTGTCTTTTGTTGGACGTATCTTTCTTTTTGGCGGACTTTTAATCTTTGCTTATGACTTTTCTTCTTTGTCATAAGCCTCCCTCCTGATTCTTTGATATTGTTGAACGTCTCAACGCATGATTATCTAAAGGACAAACGATTATCTGTAGACAATAGTCCTTTAAGAAAAATAGATTAAAAATCGAACGATAGATACTTGATTGTTGATCGTAAGCCCCAAAGAAACAGACGTTAAAATACTAACCTTGGAATTAGCATAATAATTCAATCATGTATATTTAGAGGTGCTTTCGAGCCTTCGTAGAAACATGCTTTGCTCTAATGAAATAACAAAGTTCTTGCAATAATAATTGTGAATACACTATTATTTTATTCCCTTGGTTAAACTTCAAACCTTGTGAATAATTGCAAGTAGTGGATGCTCCTCCACTCTAAATAAGCCGTAGATTTCCTTTGGACTGTTATTTTGTCTTAAATTTTTTTATTCTTCTTAGACAGGCCGTATCAATAAGCCCTGTTGGATTGCTTTTATTTTTGATTTTGTTTGCTTGAATAGGCCGTATCAATAAGTCCTATTGTGTTAGAATTGTTAATTTGATTTGAATTATTTGTTTTCTTTTATTTTATTATTATTTGCAAACGCCTCTTACCTTTTAACGTCGATTTGCGTACAAGTCGCCACAGGAAACCTTTAGAACGACCAAAGAGACCTTTGCTTGTAAATAATTTAGTCTAGCATGTAATCACGTTGCGAAAAACCCCTCTTTAACGAATTACTATAATCAATACAACACTATAATAAAGAAGGTTCTTAACCTGCACCCGAACTTTATTTATTTTGATATAGAGAGCTTTTCCAAAAATTTTTTAATAGAACCGCCAGTTCGTTATATCCGTTATTGTTGTAGTACGTGTATGTTAAATGCACATTCGAAGGGATAACAAAATTGTACGGATTGTCAGGCGGGATACTCTGTAAAAATAAATTGTTTTTTATAAATTTAATTTGTATCATTTTTACTTGTCCATGCCAAATTTGCAATTCAGAATTGAGGTGAAATTGAATTAAATAATTTCGCAAGACTTAAAGTATTTTCATCCGATCATAAGCGCATAACATATGTGTGAGGAGTAACAAAATAAAATACGTAAGAATTTACAATCTGACACGTAATAGGCTCTGGATATTTGATATATTTCAATAGTTCGTTACATTATACGTAATCCACGGTGCATAACATCTAAAGTCATCAAAAATTTGTGTTTTATAAAATATGTAAACTTTCAACTAAGAAATAAATTTGATAGAATAGTCCCTTTCTGAGCATGTTCACTGATTAAATTTTGTATTTTCTTCCTAGTTGAAAAGTTTATACATTTTATAAAATGCAAATGTTTGATGACTTTAGATGTTATGCACCATACAACGATAAAAGATAAAAGGTTTATCCGTGAATTCATAAAGTTCAAATTCTCTGAAAGTTGATATTCCCAATTTATAGGCTTAATAAAAGAAAGATTAATGACATTTGAACAAAATGCTTATTTCAAGATAATTGAACGAAATTACACTGATACTGAAACATAATCATTAAAATCGGCACCGTCTTCCATGATTTTTCTAGCATCTCTAAGTGCTAAATTGTCTTGGACTTTTGCCATACCTTAGCCTTAAATCGCATTCATTAATTAAACATAACTTCTTTTTATCAGATTATTCATATTTCTTGAGTAGCTTTATCTCTCCCTGGCTTAGAAAAAACCAACTTATGATTTGTCGCTCTAAAAATAAATAAATGCTTTGCAACAGTCCATATTTATTGCTCGCTGAAAGCAAAATCCGCCACACTATATGTAACTTTCATACTTTAAAGTTCGATATGTATTCATTTTAAAGATTTTTATTTCCTTGAAGGGTTATTAACGGAGTTCGATAAACTGAAAATAATTTGTATAAGCATATTTTTTTATCTCAAAAAAAAGAAAAGTATTGCTAAACAAATCGAATTTATGGAGCTCATCCATGTGAAAATAAAAATTCTCTATAGTTATTGTATTTAAGGTTGCTTGCCGAAATCTCTTAGTGACTGTCTAAATTCTGTTGAAATTATAATAAACTATTAGTAAATAACCTGTCGAAATTCTGACGAATTTTGAAACCCGTCGTAACTGAAATTATGTCGAAATTCTAATTAACAATTAGTGTGTAACACATCGAAATTATGATGATATTTTTCTAAAAGAATTTAGGCAAGCATCCTTAATTGTATTGACTTTAATATCCACAAAATAATTTGAAGTAAGTGTATTTATCAAGTTTCATGATGAAACGAGCTCATTTCTTACTTCGGAATCTAAAAAGCTCTTAATAGAGAATTCTAATTAATGTGTTCTAAACAAGATACATGTACATCAGAAAATTATACACATATTCTTTAAGATTTAAGGATCAAGGAAAAAAAATTACTAGATTAAATGTTATCATAATAGCTTTTTATAAGTTTAAAAACATGATTCATTATTTAAGTAATTTATACAAATAAAGTAGACATGGAAATTATCTAAAATGACGATTATTAATTTACATAATAATCTATTTAATGCGTCATATCTACTTTATATTTAAAAATTTCATTTTTAAAATCCTTATTCTTTTAAAATTTGTATTAAACTTTATTATATATTATATGGTGCAGGACCTCTTAAATCGACAATACGTTTCAATTTTAAAATGCTACTACTCAACGTAGAGGCAAATTTTTTAAAATCTGATCGTAACTTTGTAGAACTTGTTATAAAGAACAAAGTTACCGGCCAGATTTTGAAAATTTTGCCTCTATGTTGAGTATTAGCATTTTGAAATTGAAACATATTGTCGATTTATAATTACAAATTTTGTAAGATTAAAAAAACTACAGGGTAGTAAATTGATATCGCCAAGAAAAAATAATATGTAACAAAGTGACATTCAATATTTCCTCTTTAAATAATAAGTAAAAAATTAAAAGACTACAATTCAATTAGTTTGTAATCTTGATTAACTTTATCAATAAAAATATAATTCACTTTTGCTAACCAAAGGTCGTAAAGCTATGATCATTTAAAATAGAAATAAATTTCACTCGACGATTGATTCATAATGCACAAATGTTTAAACAGTAAGCAAAACAAATCCGACACAAAAGAAAATGAACGTTCAGATCTAACTTGAAGTAATAAAAAATGTCTGGAGGCAATTTTCCATATAATCTTACTCTCCCTCTAACCTCTATTATCAATCTTTGGGAAATTATGGCTGCGCCACCAACCAGTCACATTCCGGGAGTGCGATTATTATGGAGTATACTGACGGCGGAACTCTGAAAAATTATATATACCGTACAAGCGCGTAATAACGCGCATCTACGCGTTATTTCGAGCTCCTGAGCGTTATTTCGAGACACCCATGTGCGATATTTCGAGTCATTTTGATAATTTTCGTGAGAAAAATTATATAATTACATAAGATGACGAATTTGATTAATATATCAGGATTGGGTATCAAAGTAATGTAAAAATGTTTGCATAATTAACTCGCCATGAATTAAATATTAACTTGCCTAATTTTTTAAAGTTATTGTGAATTAAAGTAAAAAAATCGTAGATTCATTTTTGATGGTCCATATTAGCGCGTTTACCATTCGAATCATTTAAATTTATGTTTTATATCTAAGTGCGCGTTATTCCTATGAGTGTTATTTTGAGTTAAATATGCAGTTTTTAAAAAAGTGCGAATTTCGAAATAGTACTCATGGGCGTTATTACGCGCTTATACGGTTTACAATTTATTGTATTAAACAAAATAATTAAGGTATATAACGATAATATAAATAGATGACTGTGTACCTCTCGCTTCTGTCCCGTAAATTCTTCATCGAACTTCAATTTATGTTAACGTGCATAAGAATTTCACATGAAGAATGATATATTACATCACAACATGCATTTGCTGTATTAAAAAGAATCTTATTATTCACACACAACTATAGAAGTCATAAAATATTTTATGTGTTCTGTCTCATTTTTCATTCTTTTAACACACACAAATGGAAGTCAAACAATGCCTCTTCTTATCTACGGATATTTTGTCATCTTTCAATGCATGCGTCAAATTGTTTATCACGAGAGGTTGTCACAAACGAAAGTGCCGATAAGGGCACGACTGAAGCGAATACTGGCACTCTGGTGAATTATCTGTTACTTAATTTCAGTGATTGGCCCTTGATTGTTAAGTGAGTAACTATAGGAAGACCTTTTATTATTGTGGGTGTAACGATAATGTGTTCCTGTGTTCAGTGTTTAAAATTCATTTAAAAATTAATCTGGGTGCCCGCATACTTTCAAAACAATCTATCTGCGCAAAATTTTCTCAATATTCGCATGATATAATGTCAATACCCTCTACATTATTGAAATTAATGATTTTTAATATTAAATTTTTTATCTGCGCAACCCGCAGATTGCAAAGATGGCGATCTACGTAAATTGGGAACAAAAATTATTTAGTCTTATTGTTCACGTTAATGGACTGAATAGAATTCACGGAAAGGAATTTTGCATCGTGACTTCACCCTGGAAATATATCAATAACGGTTTATCCCCTAGTATTGCTGATTTTGGACTTACTAGCAAACAACAAATACGTACATCTAAATAACAACAAATACATCTAAATGCAGTTTACACCGGACCGGGCACTTTCTATTTGAAATATACGTATAAATCATATTGACAGTTTAAAAATTTAGGCTTTACAAGTGTCTGTGTATACTCCAAATGAAGATATATTGAGTTTCTTTCAAGAATAACTACAATTAATGATGAAACACTTCAAATGTCATGCTCTTTATTAAATGAAACTGGTAAGCATTAATTGATAGGTTATTAAATGAAATAACAATATAAAAATTATATTTTTCACACATATATGTTTATTGTTATATTCTTTCTAAAATTTACTTCATTTATGTATTAGATATACAGGATCTTATATATAACGATAATGTTATTTTTATTAAGAGGGAGGGGTGCTTTCATACATGTCATCTAATTAAACATTATGTTACGGAAGCTATATCGCTATAACTTTTTTTAACGTTACTTTAATTATACGTATTTCTTCGAGTCAGTCCCCGTCGATTTGGGGATCACGATTCGGTTCAGATTTTAGAATGAACCGATTAAAATTAAAAACAGTATTACGTATGCCTGTTATTATGGTTTACACGCAACTTTTAAATTGCTACTTGTAAATGGCACCAATAATAACAGAATTCCAACAAGAACTCTGCTGCCAAAATTAAATTACGTTACCGATAGCTCGGCCAAGAAAAAACATGGTCACTGTTAATAAAGAGTCGACCTTAAATAAAAAAACCCACAATTCATCAATAAACACTAAAAAAAAGACAAATCCAAGAAATTGTTGTTTAATAATTACTTGTTCCAATTTACCATTATGTTAATGAAATTAATTTAAATCCGGACATATTGATACGTACGTACTTTATTCTAAATTACATGTAATTTGTGCTTTGCATGTGACTGCTCAAGTACATGTACATGATTTGAGCAGTTACGTATTGATGTTTCACCGTGAAAAGCTATACGTACATGTCCATGTACTAGAAAATTTAAAGTTAGCGTTAGTTGGCAAACAGGCTGATCCTCAACAAATTATGGTATTTGGCGTAGAAATTGGATTTTATCTAGATGTCAATTTCCCTGGTGAGATTAGCTCGATAACAACACACCAGTTCCAATGAAATTAGTTCTTGCAATACCACTAATGTTGAGTTAAATATCAATGGTAACGATAATACGTATCTATCTATCTGATACTTTGATAGCGATAGTGCTAATAAATGAATAGCTATTTTATAAATAAACTAGTTCCATTCTCATGAAAACCACATGCAGAATAGGAAATGATGAAATGGCTGTTCTAATTAAATGATTTGATGAATATCTGTGCGACGATTGCACTTTCTCACATACATATACCCCAAAATGAAAAACCCCCAAGCTAGGCAGATTTTCTTTATAAGACACAGCATAACGATAGCGATCGGTATTGGAATTTTTACGTGCAAAATTTCGTAGTTTGCAGTATCACATGATCGTGTGTGTAAGGCAATTTTTTATTCTCCAACAGAATTAACGTTAATAACGATAATAATTTTTAGTGTATTATATAGTTCACACAAATTTGAAAAAACTAAAGGTGATAAGTTTTCTTTTATTTATTCCAAAGAATAAATAAATATATGAGATTGTTATTAATTTTGATGTTACCTGAACCTAAAAATTTTTTTGTCATCCTCAACAACAAAAAGTATGACGACCATCGTCGATAACACCACCACTGCTAGCACTGCTAGTACTGCTAGTATCATCACTGATAGCCCCACCAAGTCTAACACCACTACCACCACTGCTAACATCATCACTGATAGCCCCACCACGTCCAACACCACCACCACATCTAACACCACCACGTCTACTACAGATACTAAATTAAATCCCAGAGCCAAAGATTTTGTTTTTCCTTCGATTTTACTAACCCAGTCAGCCGTGGCTCAGAGCTCGTTAATCACAATATGGGTCCTGCTTGAAGGAAAATCAAATGCTGTGAAATTTATTGTTGAACCTAACGATTTCCCATCGCAGAGCCCAGATTTGGACGACTTTAAACATTTGCTGATCAAACGGTTCAAGATTCTTCTCCATGTTGAGCCGGTGGATCTTGAGTTATACGATTTTAAGGATTGTTCACGAACGCTTTTGTCGGATACTAGTCTGGCGAGGTTAAAGACTTCGGCTGAGTCACCACTTCTTGTAAGGTATCCGTTATCGAGTGCGAGTAGTAAGTGTTTTAATTGTATATAATTTATTGTTTATATGCTGTTTTATATTGGCATGACATGCTTAATTTTATTTCTGTCGTGTGCATAGTCAATGTCACTTTCAAATTTCTACACAACTTGGGCGAATATCGAATGCCCCATTACAGTAATTCCTGGGCCCTATTACGTGAAGCTGCAACAACGAAATTCGAGCATTTAACCACCAGTGACTTTTATTTCGTCGTGCAAAATGATTCGGCGGAGGAAATTGAAAATGAATTTCAATTCAATAATTTAATGTCGAGAATTCCACGAAATTATTTGGATGAATGTATTCTTAATTTAAAAGTTCAAATCAAAGGTGAATTTTTCTCATTTAATATCGTACATTAAATCAAAGTTCAATCATTAAAACAAATCGAAAAAAACCAGGCAAGAAAACCTATGGCGACTGGAAAATCAAAGAGGTATTCGAAGATGTACTTCACCAGGACTTTATATCGCTCAATACCACACCAACATTCAACCTTGACTACCTTCCCGCACTAGACAATCCACTCCCTCGCGAAGAACTAGAATTCTTTGCAAAGAAACTCGAAGAGAAGCTGTACGCATTCAATAAAGAAATCAATATTAACGAGGCAACTATGCATGAATACGTGTCGATATTTATGACCACCGCGGTTCGTAATCTTCAATTGCATTCGTTTAATTCAGCACGGCTGAGTGTAAAGCTTGATCTTGATGGAAGTCGTAGTTACGGACCGGTTGATTATACGGTGGATGTTGATGGTAGTATGGTGTTGGTGGTTAAAACAAAGACTGAAGATACTGATAAGGAAGTTGCGCAGAATATTATGCAAATGCATATTGCTATTGAAGTGAGTATTTTTTTTATCGTCGTACGATTTGTCTTGATTTAAAATTATTTACTGAATGCATGCATCTGGATTATAATAGAAATTGATAAACAAACGTAAACTCACCCAAAAAGATCCATATCAATCATCATTGTCAATGTTTGGCATCGTAACAACAGGTTACTCTTGGCGATTCATTCGCTGGACTGGCACCTTAGAAACTCCCAAAGTACAAATCTCGGGCGAGTATGTTTGTGATTTCACCGGCGATATGCAGAGCGCAAAAAAGATGCTGTCGTATATCGTGAGAGTGCTGCAATTGCAAGCTGGGGCATTACGGGACGATAAGCCGCCAGTTTATAAAAGTATTCTTGATTATGTATAGATATAATTAATGCCAAAAACTGAAGTGATGTTTTTTTCCTTTAATTCTCTTACCTGAATATATACGTATCTCCACAAAGTTATTTTCTCAATTCATTGTACTTTCTTATACATGTATCAAATTTCGTATATATATAAGTACATGAACGTATTACGTCACGATTTTTTTATGATTATTAACTGTTAAGTAAATAATACGGTAACGTAATTATTGCAAAGAACAAAAATGATTCTATTGCTTTTTTTTTAAAGTAAAAAGTTATGAAAATTTTAAAACCGTTAAATTGTATTTCTCCCAAATATATAATCAGTCATTTTATTACACACATCTCAATATACAATAATCTAATTCTTGACATCCAGTGATCCGATTTGAACGAAAATACAACTGTTCGTTTCGTCTCTACTAGACGAATCGAATAGTAGTATTTTCGTTCAAATCGGATCACTGGATGTCGAAATATTGCATCCTAAAGTAGCAGATTCATTTTTTTTTGATAGTGACAAAAATGAAACGATCAATTTAGGATGTGATGTCTCGATCTCCAGTGATCCTATTCAAATAAAAATAATGCCATTCAATTTGTTTTGACTAGACGAATCAAACGATATTACATGATTGAGATATCACGTCCTAGGCGATCATTTTAATATTAATACGTAACAGTAATAATTTTCATTGTTAAATTGTGCATTGTAACAATGTGAATGTAAAACCTGTCTTAATTGTTAATTAACTCGTTAAAAAACATGTCCATGTTTACAAGAAAATTTACTAAAGACTTGACCGAGCTTTTGACAAATTATGGCGAACATGATATCAAAATTATCGCTGGAGAAGGTAAAAACGCTCAGACGTTTCAAGCTCACTTGCTTATTTTGCGTGCACGTTCCCCGTATTTTCGATGTGCTTTATCAAAAGAATGGGCCAAAAATGAAGGCGCAATGATGGTTTTTAAAAAACCAAATATTTCACCTAAAATATTTGAGCTTATACTCAAGTATGTGCATTATTTTATTTTGATTTCACCTTTTAATCATAAATAACGCTAATAACTCGTAAATTAATATATGTTATGTCTATATAGTTATTTATATACCAGCGTAATCGATCTCAATAAAGAAAACGGACATGATGTCTTGAGTTTACTTGTTGCCGCAGATGAACTAGAAATTAAGGAATTAAACAATCACGCTCAAGAGTTTTTGATTACAAAAATGTCTACCTGGGTTCAACAGAATCTCGTAAAGATTATACATACTATTCCCTTTCGAAAATCATTCAAGAGATTGGATGAGTATTGTGTTAAAACTTTCAGGGAAGAACCTCATATGTTTTTCGAATCAGGGGATTTTTTATCTCTAAAGGAACATGAACTTGTATCTTTGCTAAAATACGATAATCTAGCAATGGACGAAATCGAGGTTTGGAATTCAATCATCAAATGGGGTACTAAGAATACCTTGAATTTAAGCGACCAACCTATTTCAAAATGGACACCTAAAAATTTTGCGGCTCTAGAAGAGACTCTTCATCAATGCATTCCATTGATCCGATATAGCGATATCTCCAGCAATGATTACTTCGAAAAAGTAATTCCTTATGAGCAAATACTTCCAAAGGATATAAAAATAGAAATTTTGGGTTATCATCTTAAAGGCTCTACTCCACAACCTGTTAAAATTCTACCTCCTCGATCAGGCTCCATCGATTCTAAGATTATTAGCTCTAAACACATTAAGTTGATTTCATCTTGGATCGATAAGAAAGATCACACCGATTT